CGCCATCCCCTGGCGCAATTTACGGAAGTTGTTGGCAAATGCGCCCCTTTTCCATGTTTCTGAAAAGCAGCTGTCAGAAGCAAACGAAACATTCTTAATTGATCGGGAGGCTCTTAAATCGTAGCCAATGAGTTCCTCTTTGAAATGGTTACCAGTGCATGCTTATATCTCCAGCGGTTTTCTTACAATTAGCGTTTTTCCTTAAGGTGGCGCAATCTACCCTCCTTCCCCTAGGGGAAACTTGGGTATTATCGGACGGGTAACTTCAAGCCATTGTAACCTGAAGGTTATCATTTTTATGTAACTGGGAGTCATTTAAATATATGTAGAAAGCCCAAAACTTTGTTTTTAGAAAGTCTGCTGAGGTTCCGGTGTTGCGTTGGAGCGCAGCGATCTTTTAAAGAAAAAAAGCTAGGTACTTGGGTATTATCGGACAGCAGCAGCACATTACGGACGGGCGTCCAAATGGATCCTGCAAGAGTCTTGATATTGATATTGGTCCCCGAGTTATACGTTGGCTTCTTGCTCTTTCGAACGCCACTTTCCGCGTGTCGCTCCGTGGCCCAGGAGCCGAGTTAGGAGAGGGGAGGGGGGTTCAAACACCTCCCCCCCATAGGGTAATATCGGATGGGTGTCCGATAATAACAAACACGTAGGCCGTTTAAAATGCGCCAAAATGGGAGCAACAAACACATTGAACACAGATAGTTGGCCCATAATCGATAACAGAAATGTTCAGGTAAGTGGAAAAGGTACAACTTGGCAGTTACAACTTCTTTATCTCTGCGATATATCGCAGAGATTATTAACTACCTGTTATAACAGGTAGTTAATAAGTTGTAGGTATGGATGGAAGGACAAATGGCGATTATCGTAAAACAATTAGGTATGACAGCCTAGCGGCAAGCTGCCTGCGAGAGGAGGTGGTGACAAAGGAAATTCAGTGCTACCTTTTTTCCAAATAAGATATTTGCGTATGCACCTGGGGGAGAGTTCAGAAGATAACTGCCTGTCCGATATAACCGAGTAGTAAAGTAATCTTGATATTACCTACTGGCCGATATTACCCAACTTTCCCCTAACCATAGATGTATGTATGTAACGGTCTTTGAACTTGAGGAAAAGCGTAAAATTGGTAAGAACAAATATGATATATTTGCCTGAGGAGCGAGGAGTGTGCATCAAACAAATGCATTGTATTTTACGAGTGAGCAGAGCGAGCGAGTTCATTTGTGCACAATGGAAGCAAATTTTCATGTGAGCGGTACAATCTGGCCCAACTCGACTTGTGACGCTTTTCAAAGCCTTAAATTAACCATGTCCCATCAAACGCTCGACCGATCGACAAGCAGTCCTGCATCAGGGAGATCCATCTTTTCAAGCATAACTCACTACTTTTGATGCTATTGCTATTTATAGTTACCGTGCTATTGCTATGGGTGACCGATACGGTACGTACCGTGTGTCAGCTCAGGGGTGCTCAAATGGTTGCGCTTTCAATAACTACGCACTGACTTAGGTATGCCAAGTTTCAGCTTTCTATCCCCGGCGCGTTCGGAGCTATCGCGAAAAACCCAATGGGGGAGGCACCCCCCGCCCCTCCTCTTCGGCCGGCGAGGGTTAAGCAACATCACGGTTACCTATCGCGAACACGTTCTGAGACCTCAACCCGAGGCAAAAAAATAGGCCTGAACTTCGATCTCTCGTTGAGCTGCAGGGCAGTCACGTCTCTGTTGTTACTAGCCGCTGCTTTGGAGTTTTGACTGGTCTGTCGCATCTGCGGGGGCACCTACCCATGGCTGTGCTCTCCACGCTAATCCATGTGCCCTGGTCTTCTCACAGCTACGGTACTGCATCTCGGTTTATGGAAATTGCAAAAAGTAACCTTTCTCGAATTCAAAAAGTTATTGACTAGGCCGCATGCTTTTTGGCAGCAGAAAATACGACCGCGTTTCAGATATATTCAAGAGACCGGGCTATCTCGGCGCTGAGAGATGGCCTCTTACCACACCTTATGCTCACTCCACAAAGTGTGGCGCTCGGGGGGCGAGCCCGAGCAGCTGGCAGCTGAACTCACCACTGTAGCCGCGGCGCGTGTGGACACTGAGCGCACCACGCGGCAGGACGACCTACTGTCAGTGCCCCGGTCCAGGACTGAGATGGGCCGCCGCCGTTTCCTGCCGATGGCCAATACTCTACAACGATCTGCCGCGCGACCTAACTAGTCCGGCCTCCCGTGCCGCCGTTCGGTCGCCGCCGGAAGTGCCATCACATCCATTTACTTCCAAACTGACGAACAGAGTGCCAGGCATGTGTGCAGGTGTGTGCGTGTTTGTGTGTGCTCAGTGGCGGATCCAGGGGGGGGGGGGCAAAATGGACATTTGCCCCCCCCCCCCCAACGGCATAATTTTAACATTACGCCTATGGACGAGGCATGGAAAGAATCGATAAATTGTTATGGTTTGCCCCCCCCCAAAAAAAACTCTGAGCTGGATCCGCCTCTGTGTGCTCACTCGTTTGTATGCTTGTTTTATATGTGTGACATTCCTTATATTTATAAGATCTGACAAGAGCCATCAGTTGCCATGGATGATCTCAATACAAGTACGAATCCGAATACGAATAGTTAACTATGTTCAATTTTTTCAAGTCAATTTTCCAGTAGGTAGTACGTTTTTGACATCGTACAGCAAAATAAATAGCACGATCGCGTGGTGTTCGGGTTCCTTAGCTCAAACTTCATCTGATAGACACCATTTTTGTTTCTCAAAATTTCAAATTGAAATTTGACCATGACTTTGTACCGGTTTTTCTGACCTGGTGACCTGACTGACCCAAGGTCACCCGAACCTAAAATTTTCAAGTCACATGTAAAAAGGTTGCCCCATATAGGCTGTGCCAAACTTGGCGGCGCGTTAGGCTATCTTTGAAAAACCTTAGGGGCGGTTGCATCAACTCCCCCTGCCAGAGCGAGGGTTAATTAAACATTTGGACCTTTTTTACCTTAACCCGCGCCCCAGTGGCGGTCTCAGCCAACTTCGCCCTAGTGGGGGGGGGGGGGCATATGTTACCACCTACCTCTAACTCAAAAACTAAGAGGGCTAGAAAGACGCGGTAAAAAGCAATCGATAGCTCTCAATGCGTACGTTTGAAAGTATTACGGTCATTTTTCATCTTAGAGCAATATTGGGGTCACCAGAGGTCATCAAAGGTCAAAATTTGGCAATGGTCATTATATTTTTCAGAAAACATGCCGTTATCTCAGGAACAATGGTAGCTAGAAAAACGCATGGAAAAGCAATCGATAGCTTTTGAACTCTTCTTTTGATAAGGTTATAATCGAAATTGACCTCAGGTCAACGGTTTAGCCTCCAGAGGGCAAAAACTCCAAAAATAGCTGTTTTACGAAAAGTGTTTTTCGACAATAACTTTCGACTACAAAAAGCCACGATATTTCTATTGCCAGAATCGTGTTCCTCTCGCCGAGACGCGTCGAATGAACTATAATTTGACCTTGAAAGGTCAACTTGAAAATTTGACCTCAGGTCAAGGTCATGACCTGACCGGAAAAGGTCATGTTGCATATCAGTCGATGCGTCTCGGCAAGACAAACACAATGAGACCATCCCCAGCGTTCTATATCTTTCCAATCGCAAGTTATTGGCAAAAATCTGTTTGTAGCCTTAAATGACCTCGGATGACCTTTCTAGAGGCTATCAGGAAAAATGACACCTTGGTCCAAGTCATTGAGTGGTCCAAATCATTGTGATTCTGAAATATTTGGACTGTTCCTATGCGTACACACGGATCTAGAGGCATTTTAATTTTTCTCCATTGACTTGTAATGGAAAGGCCACGCCACTGACCTGACCTTAGGTCACGGATATAAAAAAAATCCGAGATATACAACTTGTAGGCGCCTATAACATCATGCAATCCACCAAGTTTGAAACCTTTCTGACAAACACTGCAGGCTGGACATGATTGCAAACTTTTTTAGGTTTGGTCAGTTAACTTGACCTGGTGACCTGACCTGACATGACCTGGAGTCAAAAATTTCACACATTGCCCAAAATTGATGTACCAAAAGCTAACCCAAGCGGCGCGTTGCTACGCGCCGTGGTTTTTATTCACACGCAAAAAACGCGACAGGGTGGTAAGGTAACATATGCCCCCCCCCCCACTGGGGCGAAGGTTAAAGTGACCTGACCTCAGCATATTCAGCTGAAAATGGCTTCAAATGGCATAAACAAAACTGGGCCATAAAACATGTGTCACGTGACCGATACATGATGTAGAATTTCCGTGACCTAGGATGACCTGACCTTGACCTGAAAATTCAATGTACATGTTTGGATCCCTCGAGGTATCTAAAGGATATGTCAAAGAGTGTGTAAACCAAAAATGAGCCTGATCGAGCCTGTCAGCTGGCGGCCAGAGCCTAAATTGTGAACGAGCCAAAATGCTGATAATTTTTACTTTGACCTGACTTGTGACGTCATCGGTGGCCTTTAGGTCAATGAACTTAGGTTGCGCTAGACGATTTTTCCAGGGCTATTAGACGCCATTTGAATTTTGACGATCAGCCCAGGAGTTTGGAGATAGGAGGGCGGGCTCTGTAGGCCCCACCCCCTCCCCCTCCCAGTTAGCCGAGTTATGGAAAATACCCGTCATGCGCGGTTTAATAGGCTTATAGACAGGCGTTTAATTATACTATTGCAGCATACCTATTGCAGCATACAGGTATAGGTGCTGTAACGGGTAACGGATGGGATGACTTGTCTAATTGTAAAAACTTTTTCAGTGTAGGTATGGATCTGATCGACTGAAAATAACGCTAGGGTGAACCATGTGCTGCCGGCTAAGATCACTAAGATAATCGGCTAAGATAATAATGGTCTGTGCCTTGTGCGATGACCACCGACCACGTCACCCCAAGTCGAACCCCTCGGTGGCGTTTGGGCTAGATGGAGTGTCCCGCGCGGTCAGCAGCCACTCACCGGGAGGAGGCCATCTCTGCCCCTGTGCCGCTGCTGGCCCGCCTGTTGTCAGCCGCCGCCCACCACCGCAGTCTCTCCCTCTACTCCGCGCCGACTGCCCCACACAGCTGGGCTGGCAGCTGGCAGCACCGCGCCGGATCCTGCACAGGGGCTGAGCTGCTCGCAGCACCGCGCCGACTGTCCCACACAGCTGGGCTGCTGGCAGCACCGCGCCGGACCGTGCACAGGGGCTGAGCTGAGCTGCTGGCAGCACCGCGCCGCACCCTGCGCAGGGGCTGAGCCCCGGGTCGAGCCGCGCCCCCGAGTCCTGGTGTGACAGATCCGCGCCCCCGAGTCCTGCAGCGCTCCTGGTGTGGCAGAGCCGCGCCCCCGAGTCCTGGTGTGGCAGAGCCGCGCCCCCGAGTCCTGCAGCGCTGCCGGCGATGGCGCCGCGCGACAGGCCGCAGCTCGGATCGAGGGGGCAGGGTCCGCCCGGCCGTCGGCCAGATAGCGTGGATATGGGGTATCTGTGATGATAGTAACCTGTGATGTCACAGAAGTTGAGTGGCAACTTCCCAATAAATGTATGGCGACGTTCATAGGCGGTGGAAGGGGGGGGGGGACACCGTGGTACCGTGCCCCCCTTTGATTTTGGCTTTTGAAGATAAGCCCTAAGGGCGTTGCATGGAAAGAATGGGACCAAAAGTCGGCAGTGCCCCTCCTTCCCCCCCCCCCTTGATTGAAGGCGTTCTGCCGCCAATGGCGACGTTGCGAGTAAGGTTCAGGGGTTTTGGCACGTGCGAGTGAAGTGACAAGATCTGCTTTATTTTGCAGAATATAACGCGAAATAAATGGAGCATTTCATGAAAACTACTGGCCCGATCGTCAAAGTTCAAACGGTGTCTGATAGCCCCGGAAAAACTGTCGAGCGAAACCTAATTTCTTTGACCTTGAGGTCACCGATGATGTCACAGGTCAGGTCAAAGTATCAATGTTTGGCTTGTTCACGTTTTAAGCTCTGGCCGCCGGCTTACAATTCCGATCAAGCTCATTTTTGGTTTACACACTCGTGACGTGAACAGATGCTTTAGATACCCTGAGGGTATCAAACTTGTACTTTGACTTTCAGGTCAGGGTCAGGTCATCACAGGTCACGGAAATCTTATATCATGCCTCGGTCACGTGACACATGTTTTATGGTCCATTTAGGCCATAGATTTCGAATTCGATGTCGTTTATGTCATTCGATGTCATTTGGAGTTGAATTTGGCTTAAGTCAAGTCACTTTCAGGTAAAAAAGTCAAATTTTAAAGTTAAAATTTTTCAACAAAAAAGGCGTCTATCGGATGCAATTTGAGCTCAGGAACACGATGGTGCTCTTTATATTGGTGTACGATGTCAAATACGTGCTGACAAATTAATTTGAAAAAAATGTGAATTGTTTGCTATAATGCGTATAACTTGGCCATTTTTGAAGATATCTGGCTAAAACTTGCTACAGTAAGTCATAAACATGTGTTACATCATATATAACTATTCCGGTTTTTCGAAAAGTCTAAAACTTTTTGAAAGAAAGATAAAATTAGAAATTTTGAGTTTTAATTACGGAGCGAGCGAAGCGAGCGGAGTCTCATACTGAATTAAGGGAAAATCTTGAGTATGAGCGGCCGGCCGTGGGGACGCTCTTCAAAAGCTAATATCTTAGGAACGGGACATCCGATTGACAAGCGGTCTTCTTTACTAAATGTCACTTGGACGTAAAAGTTCTGTGGTGTGATGGCCACCATGCGTTCTTGCCAACCACCGCACGTGGCGCGTGGTAAAGTTGGACATTTTTTAAGAACCCCCAAAATTGCAACCTCAATAACGGCACAACGGTTGGGCCGATTGAATTGAAACTCAGTACACAGTTAGGTCTCCATCAGATAATTCATCTGCATGTGTTAAGGTTGGGGTGCTACAGCACGTGCGCACGTGCAGGGGGCGCTCCCAGATCTCGAGAACGGCTGGGCCGATTGCGCTCAAATTTGGTGCACGGCTGGGGACCAGTTAGTAGGGTGCCGTGCAAAAGTCAGTTTGGACCCCGCTTGCACGTGCGCATGTGCAGTGTGCCGCTTCCAGATCTCGAGAACGGCTAGGCCGATTGCGCTGAAATTTGGCACATCGCTAAAGACCGGTTAGTAGGGTGCAGTGCACAAGTTAGTTGGAGGTACTCCCTCGCAATTTCGCACGTGCAAGGCCCATCCTCTCGCTCGCTCCGTTGGTCGCCCAAAAGGCGTTTTACTGGTATAATATATATATATATATATATATATATATATAGGTATATATAATTTTCAACTTTTCCAAAACTTTGAAAATCCGAGAAATAGTCTGATAGCGCAGTCTATTCTGAATCCTCTCATGCAAAGAAATTGGGTCTACCTTAAAAACTAAGCTCTTGGGAGCGATTGCCGTGGTTCAATGTTTTTTTTTTTTTGCATGGAAATTGCCCCAACATGATGTCACTCTGACGTCATTTCCGGCCGACCTATGGTAGCTACGAAGTTCATATTTTGACACAAGGTGTTAAATTGATGCAGCCGAAGGTATGGAAAGTTTGGCGTCGACACATCAAGTGATTTGGAAGATATTGCAGAAAAACGGGAGGGGATCTGTAGAGTTGTAGAGCCCCAGATGTACGGGTTAGGAAATATATAGGGGAAGTTGGGGCAATGCCGGAGTTGGGGCAAAGCCGAAATTCGAGATATTTCGAAAACCGTACGACATGAATGCCACCTGTCAGTGATGCTCTGAAGCTTAAGTGACTACCAATTATCGCATGTTTGTTACGAGTCGTCATTCGGAATACTTCGGCTGTGAGGGCGCCAAGAGCGTTTTCAAGGTACGTTTCCCTTGTACTACATGCGCCTTTGAAGCTGTATTTCATACTCATTATGCTACCGTTTGTCTGGCCAATTCGGTCAAGTAATCTTCAGCATGTCTTTGCATAAGTGTGCTGCCTATTTGAAATTTATACAGCACGTTGAAAAATTATGGGCCTGCAAATGAAAGTATGGCTGGCTAGGGTAATGCCGAAAACGTGCAATTACTCACGTTAAAGGGAGATAATGACCTTTTTCCACAAAATCTGAGTTAGGACCATTTTCTGACAAAACACAAGTTATTATGTAAATTAAAACCATTTGCTCAATTCGGTACCTTGCCGCAAATATCTCAACTTGAAGTCACGTTTGCGGGGAGCGCTGAAAATGACCGTTGAATAAGTACTTACATCACTTTTTGGTACTTGCATGTAATTTTGTAAAATGAGCGTATTCCTTACATTTAGTCTTCATCACATCTAGTTAGTTAATGGTCGTCTATAGTGCCTTCAAAAGATATTCATGGCTTGGGGGTGGTTTATGTCTAAATTTACGCAACTATTTTTCCAGTTCATCATCTGACGCCATATGCTGCTATTTTAGTAGCAACGACTCAATTTTGAATCGGTCCCGCCGACTGCACAATAAAAGAAGATAGATACCTACAACACTTTTGCGGCATCACTGAAAAACTTATGCAGTACTGTTATCAAAATTCTCATAACACCGTTCGACAAACCTGAAGTCTTTTTGAAATAAATATGCTTGTATTTTTCGCTTCAGGCTCTGACGCCAAAATAATGAATTTCGTAGTCGCAATCGCAAGATTTGGCTGCGTTTCTGGCGCATGCCGTTCATTTGTGGCGCAAAATAATACTTGGAAACAAAGAAGAGTAGGCACTATGTACCCCCGAATTAGAATCTAATTAATTCTAAACCGAATTAACTCTAATTCAAATTAGAATCCTTACCTACAACCTAGCAACGACAAGGCGATAACATAAACAAAAACCCAAGCGTCGCTGTTTGAAACAAAAGCGCCATATACTGCGACTTTTTTATAGAGAAGGACAACGCATTTCGGTGGGTGTTACAAGTACTGCAAGTACTGCTTCTTTTTTGCAAAAATAAAAACCTTTTTCACATACGAAAATGTGCTAGGAAATTTTCATATTTTATAGTAACTACAGTAGAAATAGTATAGATGTCGAGTAATTTTTATTTAAGAAAAAAGAATGCTCATTATCTCCCTTTAAAGCACGCTACGTGGACTTTACTGCTGTAGAATAGCAACGCATATTTTTAGTCACACAAATCACACTTTCAACCGACACAACGGCCTGTTACCGATAAGGAATGATTTACCTGGCCTTTTCTTATTATATCATACAATTATAACTTCCAGTGTGCACCAAGCGTCCTTAAGCTCTTAAAACGTGTGTCAGCTTTGATGAATTCTGGATAAAGTTTGAGATAAAATGGCAAAACATCAATTTCGACATTCCCCGTAGATCATTTCTCCCATTTTCGGCTTTCCCCGCAGTCCGGGGCAACGCCGAAAAAGTCACTTCTTTGATATTTTTAGTTTGTGCGCTTAACGGTATGCGAATTCATCAAATGCGCCTGGTGTGTTTGAAAGGCAAAAGACTGGCCTCTCCAATCATCGAATGACGCCAACAAGAATAGCTTCTGTTGTCTACCTTGCGTGCTACGGGCGTCAGAAAAAAAGTATTCGGTGTTCCCCCAACTTCCCCTAGTTATTCAAAACAAATAAGTTTCGGTGACCTGAAGTGCATCAGCAAAGAAGACTCTGATAAGTAGTGACAAAAATCCAAAGCTCATATTTGGTTATGCCTCTACACAATGTTGTCATGATTTCTTCCAGTCCGCAAATCTAATGAGCACATCTTTGTTGTTCAGGGCAGTGTTTCCCAAGAGCTTTGCTAATTCCGAGATTTATCGATCAGGGATTTAACCTATGATGAGGTTGAGGCATCTTGCCTCAGGTCACCCTACCTCTAGCCGCCGTCGCGGTCCGCTGTTGGGGTGTCGCCAGTGCCGACGGGTGCGTTGCTCTCTGGTCGGCCGCCGGGGCTGGGACCACCCTGACCGGACGGGGACGGCGGACCACCCCGCGGGCCAGCGGCCGGCCCCGTGCCACACCACACACAGTGCCGTCCGGCGGCGCTGCGCTGACTCGCCCCTGCCGTCAGCACAGCCGGTCCGAGCCCGAGTAAACAACACTGTCCCACTCGGCCTGAACGACTCGCCAGTGGAGCTCCTGCCTTACCAACCGTGACTGCCCAATGGAACGATTATGGACAATGTTACTTCGCTGTCACTCTGGAGATGGATTTGGATGCCAATGTTCTAAGACTAGTGTCATCATCGATACGTTCCATTTGAAATTTTGAAAGTCACGATTGTGAAGACAGTCGTTTTTTTTTACCGCGTCCCGTTGGGGGAGCGGGGGCGCAACGGCATTTATCTCCTTTTCAGTCGATATAGGGCAGGGTTGTGCTCGACTAAAAAAAAAAAAATGCCGACTCGACTCATCATTCAACTTCAGAAAGCCTTGACTCAACTCTGACTCAAACAAGGAGCTGATTTT